GGGGAAGTCCTGGAACCTTGCAGAGCACAGTACACATCTTCCAACTTCAAATGCCAACATAGAGACTTGCTTGAAAGATGCCATGATGCATTCTATGTGACAGCACAGCTGCTCTGTCCCTCTTTGAAGGTGCTGACTGAGCCAAGTTCAGTTTTTGAGGTGATGTGGATGATCAAGAGTCTAAAATTTGCATAGGGTTTTTTTTCTGACATCCCTCTACTTCTGCTTTCTCTGGTTCTTCTAGAGAACCAGATCCCACCATTTGGAGCACTACTATGGCTGTTTCTAGTAGTGGGAGGATTTCAGGGAGACAACAAAATTAGGGTGTCATCTGTATCTCTCTTGCCATTCAGTTGTGTCCAAGTTAGGTTGTTTCACTCCTATTTATTAGACTCTTGGACTACCAAAAAGAATTCACACCCAAAGTTCTAGCAATCTAGTCAGATGTTGATTGTCCAGTTACAACGATGCTAATGGTTGTACTCAAATAATGTGTAGTTCAGTGATGTAAACTTTCTAATGTTTGACCTTCCAATATCCCAGCTCCCTCAGCCTCTCTCCATCTGACGGAGGCTCTAATCTCATCACTGTGCTGCCCATTTGCTGGATTCACTATACCCATGTCTCTCTTGTACTGGGTAGCCCAAACTATTTGGCACAAAACCGAAGATGATTTTGGTAGCAGTCACCTGGTCATTAGACAACTGTTGTAACAGCAAAACGAGCTATGGCAGCTCCTGGCAGGCCAAGACAAGCCCAGGCAAAGCCTGACAAAGTCTCACATAAAGCAGAGCTGGTGGCCTCTTACCAGTAGTGGCAGCACCATGACAAGGCTGAGGTGGATGATGTGACAGTGACAGCCATTCCAGCTTTTGTTTCATTTTTCCAGTATATGATACACAATTTCCCTGCAAGAAACTCCACCTCCTGTTTCCAAGATGGTCTTTTTGCTGCTTCCAGTTTCAGCCAAACTCAATGACTCCAGCCTATCCTCTCTGGACAGTCTGGAACAGATCCTGTAGTGAAAGACAGCAGCAATCAGAAGAGTCTGCTCCTAATGACCAATTCTGCCTAAGTATGTGATGAGGCTTACTACCCTAAAAATGAGCTTTTATTTGAAGACAGTCAGAGGGTGCTCTGTCTGGGGAATATTTATTTTTACTGCCTTCCTACAATACTGGGGTATCTGCCAGTTTGCCCAAGGAGCCATTTTTTCCCTCAGCTTGTCAAAGCAGATTTTGTGCCATAGATCCCAGCCTGAGACACAGCATAACCTGGCCCCTGAAAGTGTAAAAGCACAATACGTTCCATCCTCAGGGGTTGCAGCAGCATCTGTGTTTGCATCATGGCTGGAGAGCTACTGAGCTGCTGTCAGCCTTGCAGGTGTGGCATGTGCATCAGCATTTGCCTGCCTGACTGTGCTCTGGCATTTCGGTTTGCTCAAGTTACTTTAGTTGCACTCCCTTAGAAGAGGGTCTTGGTTTCAACTCTCCAGGAAGGGCTATTGAATGCTTAGAAGGGAAACATGTTTTGTGGTTGGTGCTGTAGGTAGCTGTGGGCAATCAGACATGGCTCTGGTCTACTGTCTCTGTTATAGTGAGTGTGGTGGATTTGGGGAGGGTGGAGAAATTACTGTTATCACCATTCTCCCTCAGTCATCTTTAAAGCCCTTCCTAGCTCCTGGTGGAGTTGGCACAGCTCAGACTGTGGTTTTTTCCCCAGGTGTGCTGGCTGGTGGCAGGCTCTAGTGTATCTTGGGAGCACAGAGTTATATGGGAGGCAACCACAAACACATGTTTTTTCTTCTCCTCATGTCCCTGCAGTCCCCAGGGCAATAGCAGGAACTGAAAGGTCATTACCAGAAGAAAGCTCTTTGCCAATCCTGATCCTCTGGCTGAAAGTGCAGAGCTTCTGCTGCCCTGAAAAGCAAAAAGTCTTTCATTTTATTTTCCTCTTCACTTCTGCTTTTCATTGTCTGTACTGTCCCACACCAGTGTGGCACTGAAATGAGCTCCCAGTACAATGTCGCCCCATGTCTTCCTTGAAAAGCTTGTAGAGGAATCAAGAGGCAGCACAGCTCAGCTCTCAAAAGCCAGATTTCTTGGGGGTCTGGGATGGGATAAGCACTTCAAACCAAGATAGATCTCCTAGGCAGTTGAGTTTTTTTAATTTGGACAAAAAATATTTACTGTTTCATTAGTATTTGTATGTAGAGTTGTGTTGACATATATTGACAGATTTAATGTGATAGTAAAATAGCAAGGAAGGACAGGCTAGTTTAGTATTTGTGCCCTTAACTGGGTTGCCTGTTGGGTCTGGGGTTGGATTATTTGGTCACTATACAAATTACTATGTCAATCCTATAGTGTAACCTTGTGACAAGTGGCTGCAAATGCAGAAGAACATTACTGTAGCATTTTGATCTGACAAGGGTTTTCTGCAAGCTCCTCGGCCCACAAGAGAGATCTAGAAAACAGCAACTGCTCAAATCTCCCACCCGCAAGTAGGCTGTTGTCATACATAGTGCAGGACATGCCTCTCCATTTCAGTTACCATGGTAAAATTAGTCTGCCAAAGGTTAAGCAGAATACGTTTCCTTATATTATTCCTTCTGTTTGCTTTTTGGTTTTCCCAGCTCACTACCCTATTTTCCTTTTTCAAAGACAGTACTATGAATGTATGGCCAAAGCTTATGTGTCTATGAATACTTTTTCTTCAAAATGGTTCCCTTCCCAGTGCTCATGACAAAAATTAAACCCTTCAAAGTATTTTGGTTTTTCACAGTGTCAGCTAGGAGGAGCCTACACACAAGAATTTGGAAGGCCTGTAGTGGAATGGCTGGCACTTAGTGCTGGAAGTGAAAAAAGGCCCCTGGAGCACCAGGATTCTCATGAGCTCTTTGCAATAACAGAGGAGAAAACTGAAAAAGGAGGCTCTGGAGAAGTAGCAGATGAATTTATGAAGACTGGGGGTCTGAAACATGAGCTCTGCATCCCAGAGCATGGGTGAGAAGACAGTTGCAGTAGGCAAGCACAAAGAGCCTGTGAGACAAGGCTCCTGAAAGAAGTTGTGGTAATGAGGGGCAGAGCATATGCTGAAGTACAAAAACTGCACACCTTGGATCTGAGCGCCTGAGGAAGCAGCCTGGCTCCCTGTCCATTGCAGCCAGGGCTCCTTCTGTCATTGCACCTGACAGCAGCCCTTTGATACTGATCTTTCTAAAATTTTTATTGCAGATTATGTTAAAACACAGACCAAGCCCGGAACAGCAGTAGGGAAGGAGATGGGAAAAGTGAAGTGTAATCTAAGAGTTGGGTTTTAGTTACCTGATATTGCCAGTGCTGTTCTCTCTCTAAAGAAAGGAGTTAGTTTTGATTGTTGTTACATAACAGAGTTTTTATTATTGAAAAGAATATAAGTATTCCTCAATCAAATTGAACTTGATTCACATTAAAATGAATTTATTTAAATACTATTATTTATTCAAAAGGATTGTTTAGAACTGCAATGAAAAATGAAGAGCTGTGGTGTGGGGTTTCCCTTTTAAAGCTTGTTCTGTGTGAACACAGGACTCATTTCTACTGAAGCCTTCAAGAAGCCTTGAGCCAGCCTGAGTGTGACCTAAGGGTGTGACCTGCTTGTTCCACTCTGGGAAGGGAGCAGGTGGTGCACACCAGTTATAGCTCACAATGTGTTCCATGAAAGATTATTGCAGTAGAAAGACTTAATGAGCCTTTAATTTTGTACTGTGTCTTTTCTGGAAACAGCTTTGCTGTCTGCAATGCCATGCAATGTCTAGCCGTATTTACAAGTGAATAACTGTCATTATGATTTATTTCATTATTAACTATACTATTTTACAGCAATTTTCTATTTTTAACATTGGTGGAGGACTGCTTGGAAAACCTGAATGTGGAGGATCCCTGGTGCTAAGGAAATTTGCTGATTGATTTGCAGAGTAGCTTTGCCAGCTCCCTGACATTTCCCTCTGTAAATTAGGCTGTGACCACTATCCCAGATTCTCAGCGTGTTTCATATGGATAGTGACACCTCTTTGTGTTTATATCTACAGGCTGTAGCCCCATGTTAGAGCTTTTGGATTGTCTGGAAGAGCCTTTGGAATGAACCTTTTCCATGCTGCTTTACTCCCACCTGCAGCTAAGACTGTACAGTTGTGCTTCATACATTATTTGTTCAGCCACTCACTACAAAGTCCATACACACTAGGAATGCTCAATACAGCCCCTTTTTTTTTTTTTTTTTTTTTTTTTTTTTTTTTTTTTTTTTTTTTTTTTTTTTTTTTTTTTTTCCTCCTACAACGTCAACACAGTGACAATGATAACAAAATAAGAGGGTGGAAAATGGAAACTGCCTCCAGGGGCTTACCTTTACATAAGTTTCTTGACAGGCTGATAGAGCTGGGGTTGTTCAGCCTGGAGAAGAAAAGGCTCTGGAGAGACCTCGCTGCAGCCTTAAAGTACCTAGAGGGGGGTAATAAAAAAGAGGAAGATGGACTTTTTATATGAGCAGATAATGACAGAACAAGGACTAGTGGCTTTAAACTGAAGGAGGGCAGATTGAGATTAGATACAGGAAGAAATTCTTTACTGTGAGGGTGGTGAGACACTGGCACAGGCTGCACAGAGAAACTATGGATGTCCCATCCCTGGGAGTGTTCAAGGCCAGGTTGGATTGGGCTCTGGGTAACCTGTTCTAGTGAAAAATGACCCTGCCCTCCGCAGGGGGGTCGAATTGGATGATCTTTAGGGTACCGTCCAATCCAAGCCATTCTGGGACTGAGTGGGCTAATACCGAACCACAAGCAAGAACGGAGCCGGGGAGACGGCAGCAGAGCCCAGCCCGTTCCTGGGCGGGACCGCCGCGAGGCGCCATAGCTGCGGGAAAAGAACTACAGCTCCCGTCATGACCCGCGGGCAGAGCGGCGGGAACAAACTCCCCGCTGATTTGCTGTGCTTTCCGCTGTTCTCGCCAATCGGACGCGCAGCTCAGGGGGGACGCTCTCCAGGCGCGTGAGGCGGGCTGGCGTGGCGGGGCCATGGAGCGGGACCGGAGGGAGGTGAGCGGGACGCGGCGGGGGCTCCTCTGGGGCCCCGGCTGGGTTGCTCCTGGGGACGGCGGCGGGTCCTTCTGATCCCGACGCGATGGGCCCCCGCGTCCCCCTCAGCTTGCCGAGGAGGCTCCGGGTGATGCTGCCTTTGCTTGGCAGCCCTGGGGACTTGTAACAATATCCGCAAGTTTCACTCGCCTGTTGTGGAAGAGTAACGATGCAATGGTGCTCACGTCCTACGAGCTGGTGTAAAATGCACCCACACAGGGACTAGAAGGCGATGAAAATCTTTGTTTTTTTAGAGTTCAGGCCTTTCAAGACATCAGGAATGCTATCTGAGGGCCTGGATCCGTAGGACAGGAACTCTTTGTTCAGGGAATAACCTGGGAACCTTGGATCTGTGTTGTGTGAAAGCCAGGGAGGATGCGGGGAGACAGTAGTGAGTGAAGTCTGATTTTCCTGTCCACGTGTCTATAATGACAGCTAGAGCCAGGGGTCAGAGGGAATTTAGCACTGGAAGGTGATAGGCTTTCTGCTGATCTTTTGTTGTTGCCCACTTGGAGGAACAATGGTATCCTCCTGCCTCATGTAGCTGTTTGAATCTGCCTTTCTGATCCATCACTTCCTGTGCTGATGCTGTTTTTGCTGCTCTTTCATGAGTTGCTAACATATTTTCCTAGTTTCTTTTATGCTTATTTGGAGCCTGGTTCAAGATTCTTCTAGTCTGAGACACACTGTTTTTCTGTGCTCTTTCTTCAGTCTTTGCCTTGCAGCTCTCCTGCTGTAACAGCAACTACGAAGAGCCAGTGAAGATGTTTAGCTGTGGAGGCATCTGGGTTTAGACAAAAACCTATACAAACGTTCTGCTATCCTGCTGGTGTAGTTTCTGAACCGAGGTCAGCTGTGGACTCTGTAGTTTTCAGAGGACATAAACTGTCTCCAGGACTGAGCTGGTCCTGCTGACTTCCAGGCTGTGCTGGTCTTGTGAGCTGTGATGGCAGGAACGTGCATTGTTGAAGTCTGTGCTGGCTTTATTGTGATGGTCTCTGTGCTGCTATGCTGTGCAACTATGTTGGGAGGAACATTGCCGGGAAGGACGCAGTCTCATCTGTCTTCATCAGCAAGGCAGTGCTTTGCCCTGTATTTTCTATGTTCCTCAAGATTCTTTTTATCTAGCAACAGCACTTTTCTCTTGGGAAGCAGAATGCAGCATGTTGAATACCAGTAAAGGGATCTGTCTGGGGGAAGGCAGTTCAGAGTCCCGCCTTTGGGGTTGTTATGTGGATTCCTTGCCTGCCTTGAGGCCACTCCCTGGCCCAAGAGGGCCTCCTCCAGCAGCAAAGGCAGGTTTATTGTGCAGTGGGGTGTAAAATGTTGATTTTAAAGTAAATTGGCTCTTTTTCTAGATGGTGTCTGCCTTTGGCCACAAAACTTCATCTTTGGAGCGGGTGGAGGAGGAAGGTGATGCTGATGAGGAGGATGATGAATTGGACATCTTTGGGGGTTATGACAGCCTCACGTGCTACAACAGCAGCATGGGCAGTGACAGCAGCTCCTGTCTGGAGGAGTCTAGCGATGATGAGGTGGCAGACCGGGAAGCTGGAGAGCTTTCAACATCTCCGATGCACCAGCCATCCACAGGCCGGCTCACAGAAGACAATGGCTCCGAGCCAGGTACTGCCTGTGCTGCCTGAAGTATGTTCAGGGGCAGTGAAAGGTGTGTGGGGATGCTTTGGGAGCAACTTTGGATTCAGACTGCATTTATTGGGCTATGTGGGGGATCTGCAGTGTATAATCATGGTTAGCTGGTCTCAGCTCTGTTACCGTGGTGCATTGACTCTGCAAAATCCTCATGTTTTTGGCCTTCCTTCTTGCAGCTGTGTGCGAAATGTGTGGGATTGTGGGCACCAGGGAGGCTTTCTTCTCCAAGACTAAACGTTTCTGCAGCGTCTCCTGCTCCAGAAGCTACTCCTCAAATTCTAAAAAGGCCAGCATCCTGGCCAGACTGCAGGTACGTTAAAACTGTTCCAGCTGGCTCTCTGGCTCCATCATGGTTGTAGGCTTATGTCATGCTGGGGAACTTCAACCACTCCTATACCTACAGAAAGTAGCATGGCAGGCTGTAGGTAATCCAGGAGACTCCTGAAACGTATGTGGGATAGTTTCTTAAGCCAAGGAATAGACAGCTGTAGCAGAGAGAATGCAACAGTAGACCTGATGGTCAAGACTAGAGGCAGTGGCTCTAGTTGCAGTGGTCATGCATTGGTGGAATTTCCAATCTTGAGGAATATAGGTCAGCTAAGGAGTAAAGTCATGCTCTTGAACTTTAGGAAGGCATACTTCCAGCTCTTCAGAGAGAATCTATAATTCTGTGAGATTTCCTGGGGATGGAGCAGGATCTGCCTTTGTGTAGGGTTGCTCTTTAATTGAATATCAGACTGACAGTCCCAGTGGCTTGTTCTTCCTTCCTGAAGTCTCCAGAGAAGGCATGACAGCTTAAAGGTGGTGTTCCCTAAGAGCTGAGAAAGGACACACATGTATTTTACCTGCTGTTTCTTGTTCCTGTGAGTGTTAATAAATACTGTAGTAGACTGAAAATTGTCCCAAGGAAGAGATGTATGCCCAGTTCCAGAGAGTGGCTTAGTCTCCTGTGCCATTAATGTTTCTAATCATTCTTCTTTTATAGGGGAAGCCACCAACGAAGAAAGCTAAAGTTCTGCACAAGGCATCCTGGTCAGCTAAGATCGGGGCCTTCCTCCATTCACAGGGCACAGGACAGCTGGCAGATGGGACACTGACAGGTCAGGATGGTGAGTGTAAATGAGGTGTGAGGAGGTGCAGCTTCTGAAGTCAAAGAATGGGGAGACTTTGAGGGATATAAACTCTGAAGTCCTCCTTCTCCTCTCTGGTACACTTCTTTGTGCGTTGTGTGTGGATTGCTCTGACACAAGCTGGCAGAACACAGGGCATGTCTTTTTTCCTCTTCCTGCCCATCCACTATTGTAGCCTCATCCTCACTGCTCGTATGACTTAACCTGGAGTGTTAGCTCTGTGGTCCCAGTTCCATGAGGTACTGACTTCTGCTGGCAAAGGTGACTTAAAGGTGTCCTGTTTCTCCCAGCCATTTGCTGCCCCACTCCTCATGGTTGCCCCGAGTCACCCACTGATCGCTTTGAGCAAAAACCAGTCACTGCAGCTGAAGGAGTAGCAACTTACTGTGTTAGGGAAAACGGGACATGGCAGCAGCAGGGAGTGATCCCTGAGCAGTCTGCTGCTGGAGCGGAGCTGTAGCCTGCAGCCAGGATGACTGCGGGATTAATCTCTCAATTTAGTATCTGATTTTCCCAGCAACCTCTGGGAAAGCAAGTGCTGCTGATAGGACCCTGCAGTGTTGCAGCTGAGATGCAAAATGTGAAGTGGTTTAACCCTAAAAGAATGCACTCTCCTTGGAGTGCTTTAGCCCTGGGCTGGACTTGACCGCTTTTATTGCCCTTTCTGCTCCTCCAAAAGCAAGTGACAGTAAATATTCATTAGTAAAATATTTTGCCTCATGTGGTGGTTAGTGACCTTGCACTCACATAGGGTCTAGTTTCCCACCAGAGAAAATGCAGTGGAATGCATAATCCCTGTGTGTTGTGTCCTAGTGCCTGAAGGCTGCAGGCTGCAGTCCAGAGGTAACTGATCTCTGTGGCTGTTGTCATCTTATCTGATTTTCTGTTCTCATGTCTGCTTGTAGCACTCGTCCTGGGCTTTGACTGGGGAAAGTACCTGCAGGAGCACGGCTACAAGGCAGCTCCTGTCAGTTGTTTCAAACACGTGAGTTCTACTTTGCTGTGTATGCCAGGGCACATAGGGCATGTCATATGCATGGGGCCCCCCTGTGCTGCTGCGACAGGTGGTGAATAGAGGCCCAACAGGGCATTATTGAGATCAGGTGATGCAAGAAAAGAAGTTGGGGTTTGTTGCAGATGAGAATGGGAGTCTCACAAAGGGTCCAGGAGTTTTGGGGGAAGGAAGCAGAGGGGGACGTGGTAGAAACCCTGGTGCTAGTGATGCATATGATTTTTAGCTTTTTATGTTTTTCATGTATTTGTAGCTTTGTAGATTGCTAAAGCATGGCTGTAGCTTCTAGTATTTTTCCCGGTTTTCTTCCCTACATGTAGGAACAATAAGCTAATCTTATAAACACATTCAGAAATATTATAGTCTTATTCCAAGAACACAACCAACTACAAGGACGTTCTGTTTTCCAACCAGAATCTGAACCAGGCATAACAAAAATGGGGCAAAAGAAACCTCTGGACTGTTTCCAGTGGGTCAGAACCCCAGGAATTATTACCTAACCAACTAACATTTTAACTTGACAGTAAATGCTAAGTATACTAATTGACTAATCTTATAAAAACTGTAGAATTACTGTACCATGTGTAATTTTTGCCGTATTGTGTATCTGAAAGCTTTTAAGTAAAGGTTTGCTTTTATATTGACTCTAACATTGTTGGGAAGATCTATTATATTTTCCAGGCATCAGTAGTAATAGCTCAGTGCTAACTGGAAACAGAATTAGTTCTGACTGGGGATGATAGTGGGAAGCTAATTTTGTATGGCTGAGTACAGCCCAGGATGATGTGCAGAGAGGAATTCAGTTTATGTGAGCCTGACAGTAGCTGTACCTCCAACATGTCCAATTTTTACAAGACTTGTTATATTCCTTTTGAATTGTAGTCTGATAATACTGAAAACATTTCCTTTTTCTTGAGGATAGTTCAGGCACACATGTTAGGTATCCTCATTGTTAGGTTTGCCATAGAGGAATGACAGTAGATACTTTGGAATAATAGGACATCTGGCAGTGAAACAGTTAGGTATTACTATATGGTATTCTGCCTTTTGGGATCCTCAGCGAACATCCCAGTGAGATGTTTGGGACAGTTTAACTGTATTTCAAGATGTTGGCAAATCTAGGAGGGGTAAGGCATGCAAGCCTGTGTCTAAGGTGAAAGTGTAGCTGCCTAAGACATGTCTCTGAAAGCTAGAAGGGCCTAAACCCTGCTCTGATCTCCACATCCCTCTCCCAACATGGCTGCCTCAATCTTTCAGGTGCCACTCTTCGATCAGTGGGATGATGTGCTGAAAGGTATGAAAGTGGAAGTGCTGAACAGTGATGCTGTGCTCCCCAGTCGTGTGTATTGGATTGCATCTGTCATCCAGATTGTAGGTAAGTCTCCAAAGTAATCTTTGACAGCTGGGCACAGCTAAGCTCTGAGGGAAACTTTAGAGAGCTGCGGGTAGCTGGTCAAGCAAAAGAGCAGCTCTTTGGAGCACTACAACTGCTGAGAGATTTTGCAACAGGAAATACCATGGTGCAGGAGTCAGAGGAAACCAGCACTGTTCTTCTTCTGGTTGCTTGTCAGTTTGCAGGAATAGTTGCTCGAGATGCTCCAGTAACCTGTGCAGAGAGCTGAAGGCCATGCTATGGGTACTAAGCCTGTGGTGCCAAATTCTTGGCCTCTAATGCCTTTGTTTGTCTGCTCTGTCCTGGCAGGCTACAGGGCCCTTCTGCGATATGAGGGCTTTGAGAATGATGCTGGTCATGACTTCTGGTGTAATTTGGGCACAGTGGATATTCACCCCATTGGCTGGTGTGCCATCAACAGCAAAATCCTGGTACCACCACAAAGTGAGTATGGGGCAAAAGGGCTCAGCATATACCTGGGCATGGAGAAGGTTTGGTTTATGCCTAGCACAGAGGGACAGGTGTTCCCACTGCATGTAGGACTACAGCTCCATTTGTGCTTTGAGTTTGGGAAGCTGGAGACTGTTTGGATTGCTCCCTCTGCATCTTCCTATTATTGACCTGAGATGCTGCATGCAGAGCTGATGTCAGACCTGTGGGAGCTAATGCAGGTGGCTTTTCCTCCTTCTAATCCACATGGTGGCTGGACTTGAACTTTGAGGGAACGTTTTGGTCCTATATCCTGGGCAACCTCTCTGGTAAGTGCAGTGACTCCAGTCCCTGCACAGCTAGCAGTTCAGAGAGGCATGCTACTTTAGTGGAATTCTGGCAAGCTGAGATTTGCTTGGTATAGCTCAAGTATTTTGCTCTACCACTTCCTCATCTAGATCAGTGGAATTTAGTGTCTGCTTGGCCCAGTTCATTCTGTAATGGTGATCCCTTCAGCCAGATCTGGGGGCAAGCTGGCAAAACAGAGTATAGAATGTGAGTGTGAAGAAGGCCTTTTAGTGCTTATGGGCTGTCAGAGAGAAGAAAGGTGTGGTGCTGTAATTATTTTGGTCATAAAGATGGACTTTTTCCCTGCTCAAATGTAGCTATCCATGCCAAGTACACTGACTGGAGAAGTTACCTCATGAAAAAACTGGTGGGAGCTAGGACCATCCCAGTGGATTTCCACATAAAGGTAACCATGGGAGGCTGTTTTGCATGGGGGAAATGAAGCTGAAGTCAAGACATGTGCTCAGCATGTCTCTTCTGGTTCTGATCTGTGCATCTTTTGTGTGCTTTGAAACCTGGGCAGGGGCGGTGAGTGCTTCCACATGCTCCTAAGAAACCTGTCATGATGGTGTGGGTAATAGATAGCACAGCCTCTGTGCCCTCTCTGCACAACAGTTTCTGCTTTGGGTCATAGGCAGGGTTTAAAGGCTGTTGTCACGTAGTCTGCTGGGAAATACTGGGGATGAGATTTGGCATTTTACTGAAGGGTGAGGCTAGTGCAGCTCCAGCCTGGCATTTCCCTGCCCTGTTTCAGTTCCAGGAAATAGCTCTGAGGGTCAAAAAACTTTGCCTTCAGTGTTGGTAGTAAAGCAGCCTGCAAAGAGTGAGAAGGGCACAGGCTTCCTTTAAGTACCATGGCCTTGGCATCTCTGTAGCTCTCAGGATTGTTTTTGTGTAGCCTGCACTGAGATTACACCTTGTTAGAGGGAGGAGAATCTCCTGTGGCTAGGAGCTCTGGAAATGACAGATAAGGAAGACAGTCCCAGAGACAGCAGATAGGAAGGCAGGTGATAGGTTTTTTTGTGTGCAAGGTAAGTGGTGACACTGAGCTGGAGATCTAGATGTAGTTAGTGCTTCTCATCTTACTTATCAGAAAGTTAAGAGGGTGGTTGTAGCTGCTTGTTCCTGGGCCTCAGCTTGTAGCTGAAAGGGAAATGGTGGAAGGAAACACACATTGCTTTTCTTTCTCCCCTTAGCATCTCCACTCCCACCTAATAAACAGGAAGTAGAAGGGGAAGAGTTTAGCTTAAAAGTTATTTTGGATTCAATTGTAGGCTGGTTTGGGTATCTATTTTGTGTTTCCTAGTTTCTGGTTAGCATCTTGGGATCACAGTTTAAAAATGTCAGGGGTTCTATAAACACCACTGGGCATTTGTGGATGAGTAGGACAAGGCAACATGAGCAAACTAAAGGTCTCCGAAAAAGTCAGAAAGCAGCCAGTGACTCCATTGTGCCTTTGGGTCAGTCTGCAGAGTAACTGGCTTTGGATGTGGATTTGGGAGATAGATCATCATGTAGCTCAACCTCTGATCATAATAAAAAGGTGAAAATAACAACCTGACCTCTTTTGAAGTCAACTGAAAATCCTGTTGCACTTTGGGAAGCTACACCTCTAACTAATTGCAGCCTCAAAACCCTTGTGATCTCTTTCATGACTGAAAAGGCACACACAAATTCCTTACTCAGTTCCCCATGAACAGAATTCTCACTGAGAACATTCACACAAGGTGGTGGCTGGGCGTTTCTGCTGGGCAGCTCTTATGAGGCCACATGACAAAACAGGGACCCAGTGTGTGTGTGCCCAGCCACACTGTCATGTCTGGAGCTGCCAACTACCTGTCCCCCCCAAAGAACCCACTCCTATTAATTCCTTCCTAGTCAGCTTTGGGCAGTGCATATCTGTGGGGAAAGCTGTTCTCTGAAGTGTTTGAAGAACTGTGGTTGATCTCACCTCTGTTGGTTGTTGCCAGATGGCAGAGAGCATGAAGTACCCGTTCCGGCAGGGCATGCGGGTCGAGGTGGTGGATAAGAACCATGTGTCTCAGACACGTATGGCAGTGGTGGACACAGTGATTGGGGGCAGACTGAGACTCCTCTATGAGGACGGCGACAGTGATGATGACTTCTGGTGCCACATGTGGAGTCCCCTCATCCATCCTGTGGGCTGGTCACGAAGAGTCGGCCATGACATAAAGAAGACAGGTATGTATCAGGCCACTGCAGCCATCTTCTCATTTGCTGGGAACTGCCTGCACCTTTCTGTTGACACCAGTCTTGACATGGTGGGAGTGAGACAGTTGCCCCAAGACGTAACAGGTGAAGTCTGCTTAGTTTTGTGTCTGCTGGCTTTTTATTTGGATAGATAAAAGCCCTGTGATCACAAGTCAGAATGAGGGACTGTAGGGTTTCTTACTTGAAGCACACAGGCTGTCCCCTTAGCATGAGAATGCAGACTTTGCAATGTGAGAGATGTTTACAGTCTTTTTGAGGAAATTCATGCTGGCTTCTGTAACACTGGATGCCATCAGGTTGTGTTTTTCTAGACTTTTACCAAGAATTGTTGATTGGCTTACACTGGCAAAGTAAAAAACAAAGTAAAAAGCAAGACTTGAGCTCTGCTGATCCTTTTGGTTGTCTCTCCATTCCTTGCTGCCTCTCCCTGGTGACTTCAGCTGCATGTGTTACCAGTAGTGCTCAGGAAGCTGAGCCATCTGTTTTTGAGCAAGCCCTTCATCACAGCCCATTTTATAAGTGTAGAGGGACTGACCTATTCTTTTTAGTAAATGGTCTGATATTGAGGGGGTTTGTAGCAGCTAAGCTCTCACAGACTGGGTATTAATTTTCCTGTTTTTTTACTGCAGTTGCTGCAGATTTTTTACCTGTCTGTGTTTCTTCCATTCCTCACAGAAGAAAAACGTAATGACATGGCAAACCATCCCACCTTCCGGAAGATTTACTGTGATGCTGTGCCCTATCTGTTTAAGAAGGTAGGACAAGTCTGCCTTTCTGTGGGGGTCACAAAGAATGAAGCAGTGATAGCACTTCCTTGCTTGGGCATACATGTGGCCATGTGCATTGTTGAGGGTGGTCTTTCTTATACCTAAGGGCAGTCAGCTCTTTGGGGTGTCAAGGCTGTTGTTAAAAAGGAGCAGGTCAAACTAGAAAGCTGAAAGAATTAAAGGACAGTGACAGATTGAGGCACTCATTCAAAGGGCAAGCAAGGGAGCTTTGAGTTGGAGAGGGAAGAGGATTACATAGGAGAGACCAGATTGCTGGTAAGGATGGAGATTAGAAGGAGGTTTGCTTTGTTGTGGAGAAGCAGTTGGGCTTGGCTCTCTGACTGACCAGAACCATGACAACAGGTTGCTGACACAAACATAGTGTTGGTTTGGCTGCCTCTTTGTATTTCTTGTAATACTTTTGCTTAACCCTCCCAAGCTGAGCCAAGTGAAGAAGTTCTAATCCTATTTGCACTTGCTGTGCTGGGTGTCAGTATGGGACTGTCCCATACTCCTGGCAGCACATGGTATACCAGAGTCTTCTTTAGGTACGAGCTGTCTATTCTGAAGGTGGATGGTTTGAGCGAGGTATGAAACTGGAAGCCATTGACCCCCTGAATCTGGGCAACATCTGTGTGGCCACTGTTTGCAAGGTAAGTTCAGTGAGCCTAAGGGGGTCTGCTATGTTTGCTTGGGATAATGCAGCTTCTTCTCAGGTCTTTTCAAATTAATAAGACCAGGTAAGATTTTGCATGAGGGACAAGAGAGGGCTGTCAAGAGAAGTGGATGGTGTTGTGTGGAGGGAATTAGGGAACTGGGGGGTTGCATCAGAGGTCTGACGAACTGTTATACATGTACTTAGACAGCATGAAGATGAGAGCATGCTTGGTCTGCCAAGCTAGTGCCCAGTGTGTGTGACTGGCAACCACCCTTTTTCCACCCTTGGGCATGCAGTGGGGAAGATTTGTTCTCCAGTTCTGAGAGTGCATAGAGAAAGGAAAAGAATGGGAAGAGTTGTGAGGTGACTTCCATGTGGGCAATGACATGAGGATAGAGGTGTCACCTTCAGTCTCTCTTGATGAGGTGGTTGTGAGCGCTACTCTTGTGCTAGTGTTGAGAAGTAAATTCCTTGCCCAGGTTTCCTCAGCAAAGTGTGTTGAACGTTGAAAATATAGCATACATCTGGGCTTTTCCTGTTTCCTCAAGAAGCTGCCCTCACAGAACCCAAGCTAAGGACTTTGACACTTGGAGTTTGGCAGTGGGATGCTGCAAGAGCTGTTTGTGTCTGTAGAATGTTCCCTTAAGCCATGGTTTGGAAATGGAAGAATTTGGGACAGGCATGCCTGTCACCTTTGGTAGGCACTAATTTATCAGTGAGTGACAGGATGGGACAAGTCTTGTTGCTGTATGAAGTGGCAAGTCTGAGGGTGGAGCTCCTATCCTTCTAGCCAGTAACAAATTCATGATCTGGCTGGTGGAGATGGTTTCTGGGCTGCTAATGAGGTGTTTCTGTGGGAGAACAGAGCTCCTGACTGCTGTTTCCGGAGCCTGGGCTAGCTCTTAGAGCTCTGGCATTACGCCGGGAGTGAGGAACTGCCTCAGTATGGGGATTTACCAGAGGCAGAACCTTTAGAGCCACTTGCTCTATGATGCCAGACACAAACCTCAACAGGGACCAGGAAGAGGAGAAAGAAGGAGGCTCTCAGTCTTCAGGATCCACAAAGGTTTATTCCAAGAAAAGGGATGAGAAACAAAGAGCCAGGGCACTCCTGTGCAAGGGGTTTTGTACAGATACAAATTGGGGGGTGGATACAAACAGCTAGCCAATAGGGAATCCTCAGGGGAGGAGTGAGGGAATTACATCAAGTGTCTAGGGCTAATTGGGGTAGGAGGGTGGAGAGGATAGGTCACATGGACCAATGGGGCTTCGAGGAGTAAGGGAATTCCAAAAGGGTGTTGCAGTCCGGAATTGGCCTGAGGTTAAAGTAGCAGAGAAGATTCGGGAACAAAAGGGGCTGGGTTGCCTTGACAGGCAGGGAAAGAGCTCGAACAAGGAGGGCAATGGCATGAGGGACAGCTTTGATGGCGGGTAAAACCCAGGGATAAACTAACTTGGGGAGAACATGGTACACCAGAATGAGCCACTTAACAAGGAATCAATAAAATAAATTCAAACCACAACACCTGACCATTTAAGGTTCACACAGTCCTTTCACAAGGTTCTTAGTGTTGGTCCCAGTCCTGCAGAACTTGCTGCTTTGGGGATTAGCTGGTGTTGACTAACATACTAGGAGAAGCCTCGGTCATATAACATTGGATTTTACTATCTAGTGGAAATTGTGATTGATATGTGGGGACTTTTGAGAGAATTTTCTGCAAGGAGGAGAGGCTTTAGAGCAAGTAGAGCTCTACACTCATGTGTTCACTCCCATCTCAGGTTCTCTTGGATGGGTACCTCATGATCAGCATTGATGGAGCAACATCTGATGATGGCTCTGACTGGTTCTGCTATCATGCCTCCTCACACGCCATCTTCCCTGCCAACTTCTGTAAGAGGAACAGCATTGAACTGACCCCACCAAAAGGTGAGATTTGGACTCTACCCTGTGGTACAAACCTGCATGCAGAATTTCAGGGGGGATGTGTTTCTGAGAGGGGTCAGGTTCAGATAAATCAAAACAAGGTCCCAATCAGCTTGTTTTTCAGGTAGACTGCTAGTTCAGAGAGCCAGGCTATTTGAGCTTTGCCCATATACCAAGTCTTGGTTAGCTCCTAGTAGATTAGTGGCAAAGATGTATGATCCCCAAACTGAACAGAATAAAAGCTTTTAAAGGACAAGGAGGGTAGGAAGGGATAAGTAGAGCCATTGCTGCAGGAATCAGTGCTTAATTGTCCACAGTCATCTCTATTCTATTTGAATAAATCTGATGTGAGTATTTCTTCAAAGTCCTAAGAGACAATCACCCTAGTAGTATTTTTGCTGCCTCATCTAGCCATAACCAAAAAGGCTTGCTCTGAATTTCTGTGTTGCAGCATTTTTGTGCAGTGCTGTTCCATCTTCATTTGGTGTTCCTGCCGCTGGGAGAAAGAAAGATAGATCTAAGTGGTGTGACACACTACCTCCTACTTGCTCCTGGTCCTCCCCTTTCTCTGTGGTCTGGGTCTATGGCTGACACAGATGTTCAGAGCTGCAACTTGCACTTTTCTGTATTTGCCTGCAGAGAGAGGTGCTGGACTCCCATGGAATCCATGCACTAGTTTAATATCCAAGATCAGCCTGTACATGCTGGTTCATTTACCTGCTCTGCAACCAGTTGCTATGCCCCCTTCATGCCTACTCTGCCTTTTGTATTACCTGGTCTACCCAGTGACTGCCTGTTTACCTCTTAGTGTTTCTTCCTTCTGCAGGGCATGAAGCAAAGACATTCAGCTGGGAGCGTTACCTAGAAGAGACCAAATCAAGACCTGCTCCATCACGGCTCTTCAACACAGTGAGTGCTGCCAGAAAGAAACAATGTGTAGGGATGCTTGGAGTAAGCAAGGAGGTGTGCAATAACTCTGGCTGTCAACAGATCACTGAGATGGAAGTGACTTCTTGTCCAACACCCCTGCTACAGCAGGGCCACCTGTAGCAGATTGCTCAGGACCATGTATAGATGGACGGAGACTCCACAACCATGTGGGCAACCTCATGTGCTGGCACTCATTGGCACTTATGACTCCATGTCTCCAGTCTGTGCCTCTTAACTCTGTTCCAGGCACTGGGAGACACTGAGAGGAATCTGGCTCCATCTTTGCACCCTCATTTTAGGCATTTATATACATAAATAAGGTATCCCCTGAGCCTTTTCAGATCCAGGATGAACAGTCACAACTGTCAGCCTTTCCTCATATAAAAGATGCTCCCGTTCCCTCATCATCTTCCTGGCCCTTTGCTGGATTCTCTACACTATGTCTCGTTTGTACCAGGGAACAATTCAGGTATGGCCTTCTCAGTGCCACGCAGAGGGGAAGGGTCATTTCCACTGATCTGCTGAGAACAGCCCTGGCCCATGTTCAACTTCATGTCCACTGGGATTCCCAGGCCTTTTTCTGCCACACTGCTTTCCAGTCAGTCTGCCCCTAGCTTCTGCTGGTGCCTGGGGTTCTTCCTCCGCAGATAAGGGATTCCAGCTTGTCAAGGTGCCTCCGGAGGGCAGCACAACCATCTAGTATATTCTGTCTCTCCTCCCAGTTTTCTACCACAAGCAAGCTTGCTTGGTTTGACATGGTACTGACATGTCATCCGGATAATTAAGATGTTCGAGAGGAGTGGATCCAATATTGACCCCTGGGGTACGCTGCTATTTACTAGCCTCCAACTAGACTTCATGCCACTAATAACCATCCTCTTGGCCCAGTCGTTCAGCCAGTTTTCAGTCTATCTTGCTGCATCCACACCCAGCCTGTATAGTTCAGTCACCTTATGGCAGAAAGTGTCAAAAGTCTTCCTGAAGTCAGGACAGACAATACACACTATACACAATATATGCAGTCTCTAGTGGGCTGCAGTTTGCTGACAGACAGCACTTTAAGGAGATCTCAAAGGTTCAGGAGTATGTGCTCTCCAAGTTGGGACATCAGTATCCTGCCTTTTGTGGGTCATCTGTGATTCTCTAGTGTTTCTGTGAGCTCCATACTCCTGGTGGGCTCTGCATTGCTCATTGCCTGTGGATATGTGGTTGGCATGTTGGGTGGAGAGTGGGGAAGCTGCTTTACATCAACAAAACTGCTGCAGTATGTGGGCCTATGCTGCTTATTCTGATTCCCCAGGGGTATGTCAAGTAATTGTTTGACTATATGTTCCTGAACTGCTGCTCCCCCCACTAAAGGCTGGGCTGAAATTGATTGAGGAAACAGCTGGCCTTGGATCTGTTTTTGGATCTATGGGCTTGTTGTCTGCTTGCTTTAGGCTGGCGGGCAGCCTGTGTGAGAGTGGTGTTGGCCAGGTACAGATTTGGACTGAGTGCAATGGCCTTTCCTTTTCTTTTTTCATTTTTTAATTTTTATGCACCCAGGACTGTCCCAACCATGGCTTCAAGGCAGGCATGAAGGTGGAGGCAGTGGACCTGATGGAACCCCGGCTCATCTGTGTGGCCACGGTGAAGCGTGTAGTCCAACGTCTCCTTAGCATCCATTTTGATGGCTGGGACAATGAGTATGACCAGTGGGTGGACTGTGAGTCTCCAGACATTTATCCTGTGGGGTGGTGTGAGCTGACAGGCTACCAGCTTCAACCACCAGTGACTCCAGGTGAGTGTAGATTTTACTGTGAATTCTAATACTAGAGATAAAGATTTCCCTCCTCCTGCTCTGTGAGTGCCTCCTTTGAGTTTTGGACCTTGTAGGAAGAAGGAAATGGCCTCCTTGATTTGCATTGACTATCATAAATCTTCCTCTGTTGCCACATTCTAGCAGCTGGCAGTGGGAGGAGCCTGATGGGGAGAAAACAGCCTGAGTTTTGAGATTGGCTCAGTGTCCCCACACCAAGAGAGAATTAATTGCTCCTGAGGAAGTTGCGTAGAGTTCCAGGTGGTCCTATCCCTACACATCTCCCTTTTATAAGCATAGCTATAACCTTAGCCAGATAGCAGCAGGAGCTTGACCCATGCTCCCTTTTCTCATCAACTCTTTGACTCTGTCTGTAAAAGGTAAGAGGATCCTCTCAAGAGTTCATTCCTTCCCTTGTCACTGGGAGGCCACTGCCTCACCTATGCGGATATTTTCCTTTTTGTCTCAAACTACCAATCTTGTTTCTTTACTGCCCCTACCAAGTCTATACTGGGCCTCTCTCCCCTGTGCTGCCCCAGCCTGCTGCTCTGGGCCCTCACCTGGAAGCACAGACAGAAACTGCACTAGAGCCTTGCTTTCCCCTCAGCTGGTTGTCTTGGGAAGAGGGCTTTGGCTTGGGGGGATGGGTATATCTGTTTCTCGCTTATGTCACTTCATCCCAGTTACCTACTGGTTATGGGACTTGGCTTTCGTTTCCCTCTCGTCTCCATGACAGAGCCCACAACTCCAGCGAAGGCCAAGGAGGTGCCCAAGAAGAGGAAGAAACCCTATGGAAAGAAGAGTGAGTGATGTTTGATTAGTGCCCTCCCGCTCGCTCACAGGCTGGGCCCAGTTACAGGAACCCTGTCCATGTCCCATCAGAGCAGGAGAGAGAGGCCTTGTCTTGCTGTGGATGCCCTCAGTCAGCTGTGGGTTTACCAACACAGCTTCACCCTTCTTACCTGCCCTATTTCCTAAAGTGCAGAGAGCTCTGTACGGGAAGGATCTGTTTTGCAGTCTGTTTTCTGTTGGTCAAGGTATATATGGCTTGCTTCCAGGTGTGAGGTTGTGCTGCTGTCACTACAGTGTCCATGGTTGGAGGGAGATGTTTGCTGCAGCTGGATGGTAGCTGGAGAGCAACCTTGCTTTGTACTAGGGAAAGAAAGCTTTAAGATGGCTAAAGAGGCCAGTAGAAATACTTTTATTGTTTCATTTTATCATTGTTGCTGTCATTGTTGTAGTAGATGTGGCAAATCATGTAGACAGACAAGAAATTCCTTCCTGGAGGGTGGAGAGGAAAGGACATCTAAAGAATATCAAGATTTTCAACCTAAATAAAATGGCCAGCTAAAAACCAGAACAATTTTATGGTTACAGTGTCTGCACCTTGCAGCAAATATGCTCATTGCTTAGGACTAGACTCAGACAGGTAAGCAAAGCTGACTCCATACTGATTCCAAGAGGACCTGCTCCCTGGAAGTTAAACAGATGCCTTGCCTTTAATGAAGGAGAACACGAAGGAGCATATTCTGAGATGATGACTATAGAATTTTTCTCCAGTAGACCATTTCTGTTGCATAACCAGTTGGCAGCTAATGACCATGTAGGTTTCTGTTCAGTTGTGCTGGTCCCTGGCCTGTGGTTTCTCAGAGGAGCAGGGTTGCTGATTTTCCAGGGGAAAAGAAATACACTTTTGCTTATACTCTGTTATCTCTTTGTTAAGGAAAAAAGTTACCTGCCAAAGCCCGCAGTGTCAAGCAAACTGCCAAGAAGCCTTCTGCCATGAATTCAAAACGAGAAGCAAAAGCTGCCAGCCAGACTTTGCCAGAGCCAGCACCTGATGAGAGTAAGGGAATGAGTTATTCTACCTTGCAGCTACATCCATACATGTTCTTGGCCAATAAGTCTTGGGCATCTCCAGGCAGGAAAAGGCAGCAGCATGTCAAAGGTCCTTTTGTACTCCTCTAGAGACACTCCGGAGAGTAGAAGAAAGTGTTTCCTTGCTTTCCCTGGAAAGGTTTGCCTCCCAAGAAGGTTTGGTGGGACCAGTACTACTCAAAATCTCAATGCTACTAATGCCTGTTGAGGGCCTGTCTGCCCTGCTGAATGGTCTGGTTGTGTGAGGTGAGGGAGGAGAGCAAAGTTGATATGTCAGAGGTGGCTGTTACATCCCAATCCCTGTAAGGGCTGTTGCAGCATGTGAACACAGCCTCATACTGTGGCCCCAGCAGAAGAGCAGCTGGGTCACTTGCCAGCCCTAGTGTGTAGGGGGAAGGAGGGTGGGTGAGGTGCCTTTTGCACATGGGGATTGGAGAGTCATGAAGGTCCCTCCTGTTCATTTAAGTTCCCCTGTGTGAACCCAGGCAGATTGGAAATGGATGACTTCCACTTTTCCTTCCTTAGGAGTTGTTCTTGGGAGCCAGCAGCTGAATGATTCCAGGGTTTAGTTCCATCCTGATTGCTGCTGTGACCATGGATAGATTTGAAGTGGCATGAAAGGGCTGCGTGTGGTGAGGTGCCCTCAGGAAGTGGGTTGGCTCTAGGGCCTGGGGCATTTTGAGTACCTGCATGGACAGAGCTGGTTTGGAGGTGCTGCAGGTAATACTAGTCAACATTTTATTTACTTATTTTTCCCTCTCTGTTTTTGTCTCTTGCTAGTCATTGCTGTGCGGGTGAAAGAAGAAACCATTGACCCTTCAGATGCAGAATTTGGAGAGACGGAACTTCCTGTTCCCATCAGCAGCATAAAGCAGGAGGACACAGACTGATCTGGAGCATTCCACACCTTTCCTGTGGCCAGTAGCTTCACCCTGTAGCACTTTAGGGAAGGTCCTGGCAATGAGAAACAGAGGACCAAAAGGGCCTTCCTTTTTTAAAGCAGACCACCCTATGGAATCATAACTCTGTTCTCCTGGTGTGCAAAAAAACTTCCCCCAGACATGTAATATTAAGCCCTAGGAAACAGCAGAAAGACTGCAGGTGTGCTGCGGAGGATGACCAGGGTGGCTGTTAGGCTGCTAGTTGTGCATAGCCTGATTTTAAAGGCGCCTTTTGAATCAGGAGCTCGAAACAGGGAAAGAGGCTGCTAGAGCACAAAAGGTTAGTTTGGGTTCTTAGCTTTGGCTGGAGGAGACAAGCTGCTGTCCAACGTGATGATTGCAGGACATATTAGGAGAGGAGCTGCTCCTGTAGGACTTGGGTGCTGTGCTCTTTGGTCTAAGTGCTGCGAACCCAAAGAAAATCAGGACAGGAAGAATGGAAAGAGGTAAAGAAACAAAAAGAGATTATGGTGCCTGCTGAAGAAGTGAGACTTTTTTTCATAAAATCATAGAATGGTTTGGGTTGGAAGAGGCCCATAAAGATCTCAAGATCCTCATCTAATTTCAATACCCCTGCTACGGGCAGGGACACCTTCCACTAGACCATGTTACCCAGAGCCCCATCTGACCTGGCCTTGAACACTTCCAGGGATGAAGAATCCACAACTTTTCTGGTCAACCTGTTCCAGTGCCTCACCACCCTCACAGTAAAGATTTTTTTTCCAAATACATTATCTAAAACTACTGTCTTTCAGTTTAAACCCATTCCTCCTTGTGCTGTCACTACATGCTCTTCTAAATGATCTTGTCTGTATGGTCCCTTCAGGTATCAGAAGACTGCAGTTAGGTTACCTTGAAGCCTTCTCTTTTCTAGAGTGAACAATCCCAACTATATCAGCATTTCCTCATAGGAGAGGTGCTCCATCTCAGTCATTTTGGTGCCCTCCTCTAGACTTGCTCCAACAGATCTCTATCCTTTTTTGAGCAGAGGACCCCAGAGCTGGATGGAGAACTGCAGGTGTGGTCTCACCAGAGCTGAGGGGGAGAATCCCCTCCCTCATTCTGCTGGCCATGCTGCTTTTGATGCTTTCACTCATCTGTTGATGCTTGATTGACTTTCTGTGCTGTGAGTGCACATTGCTGGGTCATGTCCAGCCTCTCATCCACCTGTATCCCCAAGTCCTTGGCAGGGGTGCTATTGATCCCTTCATCCCCCAGCTTGTGTTGATACTGGGGTTTGCCCCGACCCATGTGCAGCACCTTGCACTGAGTCTCATTAAACCTCTTGAGATTCCCGAGTCTGTTCCGATCCCTGTGTCTGGCATCCCATCCTTCAGGTGCATGATGAGCACCTATCAACTTGGTGCTATCTGCAAACTTGCTAAGGGTGCACCTGATCCTTTTCTGTGTGTCTTTTAATGAAGACATTAAAAAACACTGGTCCCAATACAGACCCCTGAGGGACACCACTGGTAACTGATGCCCATTGGGAGTCTCAGCTGTTGACCACTACCCTCACCCTCTGCAGGCAACCATCAAAACAATTCCTAATCCACCAAACAGTCCACCCATGGAATCCATCACTCCAGTTGGAGTGAATAGTTCTGGGAGGCTGTGTCAAAAGCTTTACAGAAATCCACCTGTCTCAAGAAGCCATCTTCCATGCAGGAGTCTCCTGGATTGCCTGCAGTTTACCTTGGTACTTTCCCCGTAGATGTCAAGGTGGCTGAAGTCCCCCAACAGGACTGGAGCTTGTGAGCACGATGCCTCCTGTAATTGGGGCAAGAAGGCTGAGGATAGGCTCCCCTTGGTCAGGCAGCTGTAGCAGACCCTGGCCACAAGGTTCCTTTTGTTGCCTCAGAGTCTGATTTTAACCACAGTCTTTCAAGCTGCTCATGGCTGTTCTTCAGAGACAGCTCTTCACACTCAATGCACCTCTTGACATAGAGGGCAGCCCCTCCACCTCTCCCTCCTTTCTGTCTCTTCTGAACACCCCATAGCCATTGATAGTCACACTCCAGTCACACAATTTGTCCCACCAAGTTTCAGTAATGGCAGGAGGATCATAACTTTCCAGCAGCACGGTGGCATCAAGCCCCTCCTTTGGTTTGTTGCCCATCCTCTGTGCTTTGGTGTAAAGGCACCTTGGCCAGATTGTTGGCTGCATCACCTTCCCAGAGGAACAGCCCTTAATTCCTTTGAGATATTCCCTGCTGGTATCCCTGTTGGCATGGTATCCCTGTTACCTCAGGAGTCCCTGGCTCACCTCTGTAAGACTCTGAGTGTGCTCCCCTGTGTCTGCTACCTCTTTAAGTCACCTGCAGAAGGACACTACTATCCTGTCCTTCTAACCTTTTCATACCATCCCACACCTTTCCAGGGAAGAACCTGAAATTGTCCCCCTCACATCTGGTTTAATCAAGCAATTGCATAACCCAAGAAGGAGTTTAGGAGGATTCCTGCACAACCATAAAACACCTTTGGTGGTAGCTCTTTGATGCTTACTGTGAAGGACAATCAAGGAACACCTTTCACTGCACTAATTGGTGTGATGTACGTACCCAGAGGAAGCCATGGGATTTTGGACCTCACCTACACAGAGTTCTTTAGTTTAAGGCCCATCTCACCAAATCAGGCAGGCTGCTGCCAAAGATTCTCTTACCTTTTATAGACAGGTGGATCCCATCCATCGAATGTGTTAAAATCATTAAAGCACACGCCATTGTCACAAAAGCCAAAACCTTCGCCATGGCACCAGCCTCAAAAACAGATGATCATCTGCACTATGTGTCTACATCTGTAATTTCTTGCTTTTGAACCCAGAATTGCAGAAGACTTGGAGTATGGTTTGAGTTTTTATTTTTTTAAAGAGTTGTATTGTAAATTTGGTCTACAATCAGTACCTTAAAGCCCTGTGACCAACTTTAGGAAGAGGCCCAAGGTTTGCATATTGCTTTCCAGGCCACCAAAATCCAGAGTTAGTCAAAACATATCTTTATCTGTACATATATCTTTCAGAGCCTTTTCAATTTAAGCAAACTTCTGAGTTCTGGAATCCCAACCTATGCAGTCATGGGGAATAGGTTGAGCACGTAATTATCATGGGATCACTTACAGATCACTGATCGAATTCTACAGGAAATAAAAAGTCTTCCATGTTTATATGTTTTAATTTTGAGGAACTGCTGGGAATTAAGGCAACATTTTCACTAATAATTTTCAAGCTTTCTAGCATAAGATTTGTGCCGTTGCAGGACCTTACTGGGTGGTGCTGGTTCCAGTCCCACTCTGGGTTCTTCTATAATTTTGGCAGCTGTGAAAGTGCTCTTCAAAAACAAAATCAAATTTCTGGACAACAGCTTTTCCACATGGGTGGTGGAAGCCTTGGAAAGAAGAAGCAAATATCTGGCTTCATTATTTGCATCACCAAAGCATGCTGCAGACTCTATGGAATGTGCCTCTGTGTCCTGCAAAACCAAACCCTGCATCTTTCGCAAATCAACAATGTTTTGGTGGCACCAGGCTCTCCTGTGCACCTTGGGCAATATTCATGTCTACATGGTGGGGAAAAGTAGAAAAACTGCTCTAGCCAGACTGTAGGTATGGCCTTGTTGTGTCCAGCATATGTCCTACACACCTTAAGAAGCCCTAAGCTCTGTTCTTACTGAAGCCTCTGGCTGGAGATTTTGCCGACCTGTTTTACTTGTTGGTCTTGCTTGCAGCCTTAGTCTTGTTAGGATTGGTTTCTGCAGCCTCACCTTGTCCCCAGCCGAGACAAGATTGGAAAGTGGTGGAGAGCTTCACCTTCATCCCCTGGGCTTCTGGAGGGGAAGCACAGGTGGCCCCTACGCAGAGGTTGAGTTTGTTGATCCACCTGGAAATGTGGTAGAAGATCAGGTAAAGAAATGAGGAAAAGTGAAACAAAGGGAAAAAGTCTATGCCTATAAGTGGATGATCACTTCAAAGTAAGGCCAGGTAATCTGGGTGACCTCTGAATATCTCAATATTTGCTGCCCCAGCTTGTGGCTGCTTTCCCTATGCCCAGAAAACCCAGGCAACTTCCATCCTTGCACACAGGTGTGCGCTACATCTCGCCACCACGGGAAAAGACCAGAAATGGACAGTGTGGTGTGAATTTGTGCCTTCATCATAGGAGGTCCAGCTGTCCCCCAGGCAGATCCCTGAGGCTGCTCCCCCATTCTGGCACTCACCTGCTCAGCGGAAGGAGCTGGCAGTCACAGTGGAAAGGCACATCATGCAGGTTGAGGATCTCCAACCCCGTGAAGTTGCTCATGTCGGGTATGTTACTCATTTTGTTGCTTTCCAGGAAGAGGCTTCTGATCTTGGGACCGAGGCCAGTGAAGGCATGGGGAGAAATCTGCAATGGAAGAAGGGTATGTCAGGAGCATGCTAATCAAGGCAGGAGAGCAGAGCTCTGCCCCTGCACTTCTGATCATCCTGGGGGGTCTGACAACCTGTCCTGAAGCTGGTGGCCCCACAAAAGAGCTGCTTCAAACAGGAGGAACTGTTAATTAATTCAAGCAGTTTCAATCACATTTTGGAACTTGTTAGACTCCTGTTAGTCTTCTTAGAAAGAAGATCACATGCAGGAGGTCTCAGAGTGATCCCTGTGTGCTGTTAAGATAACAGTTATTATGAGGGTGTTGCTAACACCACTTCCTTGAGAAAATGGAAATATTCAAGATAATAGCAGTGGAGAGGCCTGCAGGACAGCCTGTAATAAGAGAAAGAGAGAAATCTGGCCAGTGGTGGGGGAAGGAGGTGATTTAGGGAATAGTCTGGACCCCACTGAAATTGGGTATTAAAGGATTGGAGGGAGTAAGCTTCTCCCAAGGGAGCCAGGAGCAAGGTTGAAGCAAGGGAATGCTACACCTGAGGCTGAAGAAATCTGGCTTCCCTGCCATGCTATGGAACATCTCCTGAAGGCTTGGGAATTCAAAGACATCTGTTTGGATGACCCTATAGGGGTCACCAGCCCTTGGCAGTGTAACCTGTAATATGCCCTGTGATGCCACTGCCCCTTGGGAGTCCCATAACACACTCACCCACTCCAGGCCCATGTTGTCCAGGTAGAGGTGCTGCAGGCTGGAGGCCACTGGCAGGAAGACACTGTCCCCCATGTGCTTGATGGGGTTTCGGGACAACTTCAACTCACTCAGGGTAGGCAGGCCCCCCAGGGCTGCTGTGGGCACTTCTGATAAGTGGTTTCCCTCCAGCTGCAGCTTTTCCAGCATCTTGGTGGGAGCCAGGGCAGCTGGGGCAATGTGCTTGATGGCATTCCCAGCTAGGTAAAGCCAGCGGAGCCCCCTGGCTCCAGCCAAGTCACCCTCTGCCAGTTCCCCAATGGCGTTGTGCTGCAGGTGGAGGGAGATGAGGTTTGGCAAGAGCTGGAAGGTGCCTGCAGGCACATGGGTGAAGGCATTGTGGTCCAGGTCAAGGTAGGCCAGCTGTGGGGCCCCCTCAAAGGCAGCAGCCACCAAGGTGGAGAGGTGGTTGTCAGTGAGGTATAGGTAGATCAGGCTTGACAGGCCCCGGAGTGCCCCAGGGTGCAGCACCCTGATGCTGCACCTCTGTAGGTGGAGCGACACCAGCTCCTTCAGGCCAGGGAAGGCATCCGGTGGCACTGTCATGAAGGGGTTTTCACGCAAGTTGAGAAGGCGGGTGTCCTCAGGGAAGTCCCGAGGGATCTCCCGCAGGTCCCTATTC